AGCCAGCCATGGCTGGCTTGGGGATTCTTGGAGTTGAAGTCCACGCATCTTAAAGTTGCCAAGGTTGAGAAACACTGCTGTAGATTCTTCAGGGATTACAGCAGCTGACCTGCTTGTCAACTGGAGGATCAACGTCCTACAACTCTACGGCATGCCATAATTTCCGCACCCTTTGCAAAGAGGTGGAGACTGTGTATCTATATCTCTGTACGCAGCAGCTCCAGCTTGGCTTTTAGACTGCAGCATCGTCTGGCTAGATCTGGAAGTGGGTCTTCCCTTGCAAGACCCATTCGACAGCTGCGGAGATGGGATCTGTCCTTCTCAAAGAATCGGTGGAGGAAACCAGCCCTTACCCAGTGAAACCACGTTGTCATAATTCTCCTGCATGACTTTCCGGTATATATACCGTTGATAGGGATCCAGCAAAGCCCACTCTCTTCTGGTGAAGTACACAGCCACGTCCTCAAAAGTCACAGAGGCCTGGAGTGGGGAGACAAGGGCCTTCTTAGCTCCACTCATTCAGAAGAAGCCCAAGGTGAAGAGAAGACAGGCTTTCTTTCCTTCCCTCTGCCAACCATTACCTGAGCTGGTGGTGCCGCCGCCAACATAAGTCTTCTGCCACGAACCCAAGAGGCTTTTCTCATAGGGGTGGAAGTCATTCTGGAATCTAGGAAGAGAGAAAGTGGTGGTGGATGTTCACATGTCACTCCTGCTATCGTATTCCCATAGAGTTCCGTGCTGGGGTGGGTAGCCTACAGGGAACATAAACCCCGCTCTCATCTTTCGGGTCCCAGGCCCCTCCCGGATTGTGCTGGAGAAATTTAGCAGCACAATTAATCGTGGCATCTTTCTGCACATTAAATGTATGCATATTAACCACACGAGCTTTTCCAGATTCAGAATAAGAAAACAGGGAATATGGGGGATGCAAAGGCTGAGCATTCTTTCAGTCAGTCCTTTGTAACACCTCCTTTGGCAGAAACAGCAGCTTCTGAACATTTCCTATGGACAACGACGAGTCTTGCTATTCTTGGTTTTGGAATTTTTTCCTACTCTTCCTTGCAGAAGTCTTCTAAGTCAGAAATGTTTTCAGGTCTCCCCGCAGATTTTCAGTCATATTCAAATGTGGGGACTATGAAGCTCATTTCAAAACCTTTCTTTTTCATGTTTGAAAATAAGGCAGGGTTGATTTGGACAGCAAACCAGATTGTCCCATCTTCTGCACCTGACATAGTCTCGGCTTTCTCGTTTTGGATCTGTAAACCACTGCAGATAAATAATAAGTATGCATTCAGATTTACAGAAAGAGGCCACACGTAACTTTGTGCCATGTAGAGTTGTGACCACTTCTGTTCCTCTAAAAGAGACAATTTGACTAGGGAGCCCAAATTTTTGCACGCAAGTGTATTTTCCCACTTCAGATATCCAGAAGAGAAATTATCTGCCCAAATTCATATTTTTGCTGCCATGTCTCATCAGCGCAATCCAAGATGGGAGGGTCATTGTGCATGGCCTACAAGTTGCCCAATTTAACAAGAGGCGCCTAATTTTGGCATGCAACTGTAGGCTCTAGGGAGGCATTACCCATCTCACAGGGTAGGTGGTGCCTCTAGCGTAGGCCACTGAGCACGTGCTTTACACCAGGGTTCGTCAACCTTGGCAACTTTAAGATGGGTGGACTTCAACTCCCAGAATTCCTCAGCCAGCAGGGCTGGCTGGGGAATTCTGGGAGTTG